TGGGGATTGAATAAAGGAAATGTATTTTCTGTACAAATGTATGGGGCACCTTTTGATATACTCTCACGTTTGGACGACAGGATTTGGCTTTCTCAGTTTCGAGGATGAAGATGCTGTGGACCGCTGCGTTGCAGAGCATTTCGTCAACTTGAATGGAAAACAGGTATAGCATACCTACACATTAGTATATATATTACATACCATTAGATTATTGTAATGTAAAATAATAATAAGTACGAATGTGTGTGTTACGGATAATTTATTCTTATGTACCGCATAGTTTTATGTATAATCAGGTTAGTTAATTATAGTACTTATTTTATTTTACACAATTTTCTTATACTGTGTTACTTTTAACAATTGTACGTTTAGTCCTTATTGTAATAAGTATCAATTTAAAAGAATGAAACGTTTTAGAATATCGTATATACTACATGCGTTATGTGGCAAGTCAAAAATTAGAATATACTCTAGAATCGATGTAAGACTTGGCGAGTTTCGAAGGTTTAATCGTATGCTTATAAAGAAAAAAAAAGAGAGAGAGAGAGAGAAAAATAGAAAATATTTAGATTTAAATAGGATTATTTATAATTCGATCAAGATTGAAATCCTATTCAATATTTCAAGTTACGTTCAGTCATGGAGGATGGGATAGGAATGTTTTGTCATACAAATCATTTGATTCTTTTTGATTACAGGTTGAAATCAAACGTGCTGAACCACGAGATTCTTCTAGTAAAATGAATGATAGTCATCAAGGACAATGGGGACCACCTCAACAAGGTGGACCTCCAATGGGAATGGCTGGAAATATGGGACCTATGGGTGGTCCAAATGGACAAATGGGAGGACCTATGATGGGAGGTCCAATGGGTCCACCAGGAAACATGATGCAGCAATATCAAGGATGGGGTACTAGTCCTCAGACTGGGGGTTATGCTGCTGGTTATACAACTCAATATAACTCTCAGGGCTGGGGTGCTCCGCCTGGTCCTCCTCAACAGCAACAAATTCCACCGCCGCCACATCATCAGTGGGGCAGCAGTTATAATGTACAGCCTGCAGCAGCTACTCAAGGCTATGGTAGTTATGGTGAGTTTTCTGAGATTTTATTTCATTTTTCTTAATATAGATTTCGATCATTTTAAAATAATGAAACATTTGATGATTTAAAATAATTTAATTACTTGGAAGCAACGATTAATTATTCAGTTAAAATGATATCAGTGACGACAGTCCGTCTTTAAAATTTAATAATAAATTCATAATTCAAAAACCACTTGACGAATCATTAATTTTGCTGGCACACTTTTCGGAGGGATAGCATAAAATAAGATCATAATTCTTTGATCCTATTCTCTCCCCTTCCATCCTGCTTGGAGATACTAGGAAGAAATAAGATAAAAATATGAGAAAACAAATACCTTATATAGTATTCAGAATTAATTATCATTTGTTTGATACCCTCTGGAGGTTATTATAGAAAGAGAATACAGTAGGACATTATAAATATTAAGTATATATCGAAATTATGTCAGTTCAGACTCGTTAATCGCTGTATGTTTCTAAGAATTGCTACAAATTGCGTTTTCTCGTTTTCTCGTTTTCTCGTTTTCTCATATCGTAAAAACGAATAATTTCACATTTAAAATATAATGTTTCTTTTTGTTGAGTCTGAATCAATACATTCTTTCGATAATGAACACTCCCGAGACATTGAACCTCATTACGTTGTTTACGAAATTCACGCTTGCTTTTTTCAATAAATGATGCAACACGTGAAGCGTAATAGAGGAAACATTGGCAATATTTTTACGTTTTAGATACATTCGTATCGGCGTAATGATTCAATGCTATCGGGAAAATCAAGCATGAACATTTCAACCAAGTTACATTGAATATTAAAGTGACGCTAAAAACGAGTCACTTTAGTGCCAAGACATGTAAGAGCGGCGAATATTACCTATTCAAAGTTATTATCTACTTTCTTTTCGTCGTTTGCTACAGTTAATTACTTTCCTTTGTACATACACACTTATCACACAAGGGAAACAATGGGGAAAGTTGCAGTACGATATTCGACATTTTTTCCAGATAATAATCTTTACCCTATATAATAAACTCATTCTCGACAAATTTTAAAAACCGATTATTCGACTTAGAAACTCTCTGTCTCTCATTAGAGAATGCTTGGCACTAAAGTGGTCAGTTTACAAGTAGACTGCGAATATTCATGCAACATTCGTAATTCTACGAAGGTAATTATTATTATATTATCCGGCAAATACTCTACGCCGGATATTTTATGTATTTTTATTCTAAATTCATGAGAATCCGTAGTCTACCAATAAGAGAAGGCTTTGAGCAGAACGGTGCTTGGTGACACGTGTTTTGTGTGGTTGATGATCGCAGGTGGGCCGGCGGCGGCCGCTTCAGGGGGCTACGGGCCCACAGCGGGTACTGGCGGGGCTGCGGGGGGCGGGCCCGGGGGTTCCTGGAACTCCTGGAATATGCCACAAAATGGTCCTCCTCCTGGAACTCAGCCACCACCTCAACCTCCTCAGCCTAACTCCTCGCAGCCCAACTCGAATTCGAACCCCTCTGGCCCGCAGGGTGAGTCTTCAAGCTCAATCAAACAAACTCTTTCCTCTTTTCACCCTTTCGCATACAGTTCCATCTTCACATAGTTGAGCTATAATGTTAATCTATAATCTGTTCGTATCTGTCTTTTTTTTTCTGTTCGTTTGTCTCTTATTCTGTCTGTTTTTGTTTCTCTTACTGTGACAATATATGTATGTGTATATATATATATATATATATA